GATGGTGTTGTGATTGTATTGTGCTGTGTGCGACACTTGGTTCACTGTGGACTAAGAAGTCACGCAAATGAGAAAAAAAAGACTCGCCACTACGGTATCCTATGCTTGATGAAGAGAAGAAGACAGAGAGAGAGAGAGAGAGAGAGAGAGAGAGAGAGAGGGGGGGGGTAGGGAAAGGTCATCTCGCGGGAACTGATATCTGTGACTAAGAAATTAAAATATTTAAGAAAACACAGAGCTAGCAAAGTTAGAAAGGTCATTGCGAAGACTTAAACAGTAGATATCTAACATAAATGTTGAGTGGTCAGCAATTATAATGAGATGAGAAAGAATCTCATCAAGCTGGGCAAGAGGTAGACTTAAATCAATAAATGAATTCATTATAATCAGTTATATCGAAACGTAGAAATTAACGGACGTTCTTTTCGAAAAATTGAAGTATCTGTGAACCGTATCTTAATCAAATTCAATAAGATGGCCCAAAGAAAACAAGCACAAGAGGGTTAAGAATGGTGCTACGCTGAGAATTGTTTAATGACTTTGGTTTTTGATTGTTTAAAGAAAGGGGATTAGTACAAATGATGAACGGACCTAGAAATTAGGATGCGTCTTTCTCGCCGAACTTATTCAACTTCTACAGTGAGGTGATTCTGAAAGAATTAGAAGGAAGAATTACTAGGATTCATTATTAGAGGTCACACTCTTAAGAACATAAGAGATACGGATGACACAAATGTCGACAGAAGATACAGAAAGAAAATTACTAGAACCCCTACAGAAGGTAATGAAGGGAAGCGAAAAGAAAAGACTAAAAATAAAATCAAGAAAACAGAATACATAGTTGTTAGCAAAAGGAATAACCCAACATACAAATTACAAATCGGGGATCCGAAAATCAAACAAGTACAACAATTTAAATTTGTGGAAAGTTTTAACAGAAGAAGGAAAGTGCGACACCGAGATCAAAATTTAAATAAAGTATTAAGGAACAAAAATATGTCGTTAGAAACAAAGAAAAAGTACTGAACACTTATGTAACATCAGTCCTCTTATATGGCAGTGAACCATTATTACCTCACTGATGAAGAAGAGACTTGAAGCAACAGAAATGATGCTGAGAATACCATGGACTGAAATGATGCTGAAGATATCATGGACCCCAGAAGGATGTTGAGGATACCATAGACTGAATATATGTTGTGGCCTTGTTGGGGCCATAAATAAAGACACAATGAGAGGAATTGAGTTAAACAAATATATTAACAGTAATAAAAAACATACAAACTAGAAAGAATGTTCGGTTCGACTATCAGAGCTGACTGCTGGAAACTACACTCTCTAAAAGGCAGTACCTGCTCCTATTTATATCTGGGAGACTCGGTGCATGTATGGGTAAATTACCATAACAATATATAAGCAACAACGAACTTTTAGTGAAAATGGAAACAAAAAGGACTTTTTTACTTAGAATCAGGAAGATAAAATTGAAATTTCTAGGGCACATAATGAGTTGAGCAGATTTGGAATAGTTGATATTCACAGGAGAGATTGAAGGAAATGACAGATGAAGAAGAGACTTGAAGCAACAGAAATGATGCTGAGAATACCATGGACTGAAATGATGCTGAAGATAGCATGGACCCCAGAAGGATACTGAGGATACCATAGACTGAATATATGTTGTGGCCTTGTTGGGGCCAGAAATAACTATCAAAAGACCCAGGAATCTGAACTAAAAATTAAAAAGAGACTCTGATATCTGACCTAGAAATTAAACAGATTACATGATACTGGAAGCTGAACCAGAAATTAAAAAAAAATTGTATAAGACTCTGGAATCGGAGATAGAAATTAAAAATTATACATGACTCTGGAATCTGAACTAAGAAATTAAAAAGATTACAAGACTCTGAAATCTGACCTTGAAATTAAACAGAGTACAAGATTCTGGAATCTGACCCAGAAATTAAAAATAGCACAAAACTCTGGAATCTGACCCAGAAGATAAAAAAAAACTGTACAAGACTGAAATCTGAACTAAGAAATTAAAAATGGTAATTACAAGACTGAAATATGAACTAAGAAAATAAGTAAAAATAAAATGAGTAGACTCTGAAATCTTACCTAGAAATTAAAAAGAGTACAGGAGTCTGGAATCTGAACTAATAAATTAAAAAGAGTACGAAACTGAAATACGAACTAAAAATTAAAAAGTGTACTAAAATTAATCGAAAAGACAGAACGTCTCATAATGAGATTATGAGATGAAAACCGCATTTCTTCTTAAACCATGAACTTAGCATAAATGCCACACTCAAAGAAAAATACGGTTTAAAACAAAACAATCTAGAATAATTTAAAATACAAAACCCTATAACCGTCTGGGTAATACTGTAGACCTTAGTACCCATAATGCACCACTGATTGGCATATATAAATAGTCGAGCCAAAGCACAACAAACGTGGCTTGAAGATTGCCTTGAAGCATGAGACAAAATGTTGCCGCTTGGTGTTGAGCTTATTGTCCACGTACATATAAGTTGGAAAAACACCTTGCTGAGGACAGAAATCGTCAATTGGGATACGAGAGGTACTGAAAGAACCAATTGGAGAACAGCAATCCACGAAAAAAAGAAAACATCATTCGAAAACACCAGAAGACAAATAGAAGAGACGAAGAGATCCCAAAGAAAAGGCTAGAACTCTCCATCCCTTGAACCCATCTACCCTACCATGCGATGAGTACGGACGTCTCTTCACATCCAACATAGGACTCATTTCACACAAGGAAATGACGATGAGCACCCCGATGCTCGGCAACGAGTTTTGCTAATGACGATTATGTCATTTTCTGTCTGGATCATTCTGTTTCTAATTGTGGTAGCATGCCCCCCAAGAGAATTGATATTCCCAAGCAGGTGACAATATATATATATATATATATATATATATATATATATATATATATATATATATATATAAAAGTATAAGTATGATAAGTATGTATTAATAGAAATATGAATAAGCAGCTTCCAAAAGAGTGCACTCTTTTTTCCTGTGTGCAATCTGAAGCAGACTCCTTTGGGAGCTCTTCTTAGAGCCCGCTTCTGGGAAGAGACCATATGGAACCCCACGTCGTCAATTCAAGTATCAGCTCAAAAACACATTGCTGAGGACAGAAATCGATCCGGTCAATTGGGAGACGGGAGCTACAGAAAAAAAAAAACAGTTGGAGAAGATCAGTCCACAAAAATACATCATTTAAAGACATCAGAAGACACACAGAAGAGACGAAGATAGCCCAAAGAAAAGCCAGAGCTCTGCATCCTTTGAACCCATCTGCCTTACAATGCAGTGGTTGCGGACGTCTCTTCACATCTAACATAGGACTCATTTCGTACAGTAGGAAATGTCGATAAGCAACCCAATACTCGGAACCAAATTCCGCCACCGACAACGACGATGTGTGGGTGTATGAAAAAGTTCAGTTACTAAGGGGAAAGATAACACCATGCTCGGGAAGAAAGGTCCCGTTGGGGCTTACTTTTACCGCATGCTAGAAGGAAAAGAACGGAAAGAGAAACAAGACAGGAAGTGTCCCGTTTTTATAGTGTTTGATAGCTCCACTTAATGACTTCTTGGCAAACCTCGTAAAGGTACGTGGTGATAACCCATAAATAATAGATTTTTGATATACTAGTAAATATATAGTAATAAATAATTTTCGATAAAACAAGAGCGAATAGAAATGTCAAAAACGTAGTGAGAATATTCGGAAAGATACTGGATTGCCCAGAAAATGTGGTTTAACTTGACCCACGATTAAAATCTTAAAGCGTCCAGGGTAAGACGATAAACTACGTCCGACAGCAAGGCCTTTGATCAGGAGGTTTTGAGGAGCGTGGAAACACCTTTTAATTGTAGGTGTTCCCAGGTCCAAGGTGGTAGCACCTGTTAGGGTCCCAGGTATGGGCAAATAGTTACCCCCCCAAAGGGGTCAAAACACTATGAAAGTATAAAAATAGGTTTTAATACCAGCAATACTTTTTTTGAGAAATTATTACCAGCAGTACATTTTTCAAAAAGAGAATATTACCAGTAATACATTGAAAAAAAAAAAAAATTAATACCAGCATTACAGTTTTGGAAAAAAATTACCAACAATACATTTTTGGAAAAAAATATTGCCTGCAATAAAAAATCTTGTCGGCATTAGATAAGCCACTAAGGTTGGTAAAACAAACCAAACCAAAGTACTATGAAAGTAAAAATAGGTTTTAATACCAGAAATACATTTTTTGTAAAAAAATATTACCAGCATTACATTATTACCAGCAATACATTTTTGAAAAAAAATATTACCAGCAAAACATTTAAAAAAAATATTACCAGCAAAACATTTAAAAAAAATATTACCAGCAAAACATTTAAAAAAAATATTACCAGCAAAACATTTAAAAAAAATATTACCAGCAAAACATTTAAAAAAAATATTACCAGCAAAACATTTAAAAAAAATATTACCAGCAATAGATGTTTTGAAGAAAAAATATTACAAGCAATACATTTTTGGAGAAAAAAAATTGCTAGCAATAAAAATTGTCGGCATTAAATAACCCATTAAAACAAACGAAACCAAACTAATGATAAACCCGATTTGAAATTAGCTGGGGAAAGGTTCCTCATTAGTGATCATAGTAGTCGTGATATTCGTTTATAGTTTAGCTAGAATAAATAGGATTTATATTCCTATTCTTCTTGATAGCATACAAATAATATCAGATAATACGAACAATAATAAAACGTTGATGATAAAATGATAAACAACTTGTGATGTCTCCACAGAAGGTCCGCGGTTGTCTGCCCTTGTCGACATGAAAGCAATGATGATAAACAGGACGAACGAATGTCAGTATGTGTGAATTATATCTGAACGCCTCATGACACTCTGGATTTGTTGTTATTTTGCCGTTTTTGTTGGCTTTTATTATCGTAAAGGATTAACATAGAAAACATGGATGAGAATGAAAAGGAATGAGAAGGAAGTCAAAGAGCGGGGAAAGAAACTGAAGGAGAAAAGATTTGAAGAGGAAAGGAAAAGGCGAGAGAACGTACAAAGAAGGAAAGAAAGCGAAAGAGAACGGAGGAAGAAGGAGAGAGTGAGTGAGTGAGTGAGAGAGAGAGAGAGAGAGAGAGAGAGAGAGAAGGAGAGAATGGATTTTAATTAGGAAGGAAACGAAGAGGAAAGAGACGGAGAAGGAAAGAAAAAGATAGATAGAGAAATGACTTAACAAGGGCAAAAAAGGAAGAGAGAAAGAACTCAAAGAGGGAAAAGAAAGGAGAAAGAAATGATTTAAAGAGGAGAGGAAAAGAAGAGAGAATGAAATTGAAGATGGACATGGGTGAGAGGGAACGAGAGAGAGTAGGAGATAATCGAATTGGAGTGAGAGTAAAAGGGTGAGGAAACAGATGAAGAAGAGCAGAGGGAGAGAGAGAGAGAGAAAAGATTTAAAGAGGGTAACAAATATTGAGTAAAATGTTTTGGCGAAGGAAGGAAAGATAGAGAACGAACTGGAATATTGAATTAAAAAAAGAGAGATTGGATTTAAAGAGGAAAAGAAAGGGAAATAAAACGGTTTTGATGAGAGACGGAAACTAAGAAAGAAATGAAGAGAGAAGGATAATGAAAGACAAAGGATTTGAAAGAGAAAGAAAAGCGAGAGAGAACTGACTTGATGAGGGAAGGAAAGAGACAGAAGGAACTGGAATAGGGAAGGAAAGGGCGAAAGAAATTCAACTTTTTCATTTGTGGGAAGATTGTCCATAATTCAAGCAGATCCAATATAAGTAGATTGATATTACATAGCAATGTTGCATTGCCCCCTTTTCCAAGGGTTGTTGGTCTTGGCTGACGGTGTCGACTCGACAATAAAGATGTTTTCTCTCTCGGCCGGGTGTCGAAATGTTTTTGGGGTCCGGAGATAAAACGAGAACTTCAACAAAGGAATTTTAAACTTATCTAGTTTTATTTACCATGTCGACGTGTACATTTCTAACTAGGCAGTGGGGACGCTTTCTCACCCCAACTGGGAAGCCGCTTCCCAGAGACTAAGAAACACGTCTACATTCTTCGACCTGTAAGACGTGACTCCTTGTAAAACCTTTCTCTATCTGTCATCCGCACACTAGTTTTAGCCAATCAAAATTGACTTCCATTGTTTTCCTGTATCTGACCTCAAAGATCAAAATGGGGAAGTCAGAGCAGAAATACAATTCTCTAAAAAATAATTGTCGCGGGTGGAGGGAATGAGAGAGAAAAGTTTTGAAAAGAAAATAGAATGACGAGAGTGGAAGAGAAAGAAGGAAATTGGGAAAAAAAAAACTGACGAAGAAAAAAACAATATGAGTGAGAAAAAGACTTCGAGAGAGATAGAAAGCTAAACAAGAAGGATTTGAATAAGGAAGGAAAAGGAATGTGAATGAATTAGAATAAGAAAAGAAAAACAGACGAAAAATGACTTTCTGGGGACAGGAAAAGTAATCCGTTTTTCAAAAGAATATGATGATAGAAAGAAGAAATACAGGAGGAATAAAACGAAAGGAAAACCCGGACAGAATAAAAGACGAAATAGAAGAAAAGGATTACTCAAAGAAAGATGCTTTGGTTTAAGGAAACTAACAGGACAGCTGCTAAGAAAATTGGTTCACTATACCGCGTTAGACATTTTCTCTCTCCAGAATCTTCCTTGCATCTATAATTCTACCATTCCTCCATGCTTAGAATATTCCTACCACATATGGTCTGGGGTTTCTGCTACATATGTAGAGATCCTTAATGAAATCTAAAGAAGAATTAGCAATATCATTCGTCCTGATCTTTCCGTTTCAGTTACTTTCCCACCGTTGTAATCTGACTTCCCTGTGCTTTTTCTACAAATATTTTCATGGTAATTGTTCGGATGAGCTCTTCGCTATGATACGTATGAATATAAGCATAGTACTAGACTGGCAACGAGTTTTCATCGATACACTGTTGAGTTGTCTAGATGTAGCCGTAGCTTCTATGACAACAGTTTCTTTTGTCTCGCACTTCTTGCTTGTGGAACGCCCTCCCGGCTCCAAGCTTTTCAACCAACTTTAATCGTCAAAAATTTAAATGCAATGCTAATCGCTATCTTCTGGCCTCCTGATTGCTTTTCTTCTTTACTCGCTTTTTGGCGGTGCTTCTGTTTTTTTTGTTTTTTTATTATTCCACACCCAGTAACCCCCATGTGTCTTGGTGGCTTTAATACCTTGTTTGGGACGAACTTGGTAAAAAAACAGTAAAAAGAAAGAAGGTCGACCAAGAATTAGAAAAGAAAGCAGAATATTCTACAGCAAGTAAAACGCAATAAAGAAAGAACCATAAGAAAGAAAGAAAGAAAGAAAGAAAGAAAGAAAGAAAGAAAGGCAATAAAGAAAGGAAGAAACGTAATAAAGAAAGAAAGAAAGGCAATAAATAAAGAAAGAAACGCAATAGAGAAAGAAAAGCAACCGAGAAAGAAAGAAACGCAATAAAGAAAGAAAAACACGTAATAACAGAGAAAGAAAAAAACGTAATAAACAAAGAAAGAAACGAAATAAATAAAGAAAGAAAGGAAGAAACGCGATAGAGAAAGAAAGAAACGTAATAAAGGAAGGAAGAAATGCAATAGAGAAAAGAAAATCTTAATAAAGAAAGAAAGAAAGAAAGAAAGGTAATAAAGAAAGGAAGTAACGCAAAAGAGAAAGAAAGAAAGAAATGCAATATCGAAAAACGTAATAAAGAAAGAAAGAAATGTCATAAGGAAAGAAGAGAGAATAGAAAAAGTAAGAACAGAATTAATAAGATAAAAAGTGAATTATAATGTAAAAATGAGTGGAAAGTAAAAATGAAAGAGAGAAGAAAAAAGTAAAAACAAACAAACGAGCAAACAAAGAACAAAAAAGAGAGAGAGAGAAGGAGAGAAAGAGAGAGAAGGAAGGAAAGAGAGAACGAAAGAAAGAAAGGAAAGTAAGCTTTTGGTTGGCATCCGTTCGTGTTTTTGATGGGGGAAATTACAAAGCCGCATTTTCGCCTGCCTTGTAATTAATTGGATCCGTATATGCGTCTGCCTAGCTCCGTTCAATTCGATGTACGCTTCGGCTGAGTTGATTCCGATAGGCTTTTTAGACACAACATCAAAGATCATTTTATGACCCATAGCCCGTCAGTCTTGTTGGAAGGCGTGCAAGACACACACACACACACACACACACACACACACACACACACACACACACACACACACACACACACACAGACGCGCGCATGCACGCACATGCAAGACTACGTTTACAATACATAACAGATACACGTTTACGAATCAATTTACGCACTAATGGGAATATATGTCTCAGCCACTATGATTGCACACAATTTTGCTACATATGCAAGCACATAAACATTAACACTCACATACGCACACGCACACACACACACACACACACACACGTGATTAATATAAATATAAAATTTGTCACTTAGCTGATTGTTGTTATTTTCAGCATCTCGACTCTAGAGTTTCGTAGACGGATGCTCCAGCAATCGTTCCGTCCAATTGTCAGGAGATATCAGCAATTATATATATATATATATATATATATATATATATATATATATATATATATATATATAGATAGATAGATAGATAGATAGATAGATAGATAGATAGATAGATAGATAGATTTTAAGCATATCACCTCAGGCAAGGCAGGAATGCCACTAGCGTGCAAGGGGTTACAGAAAGTGAGAACAACAGTAAAGAGGATATTTGGGGAAAGAACACAGATAAGGACGGGGGTCAGAAGATGTCGATTGACATTACATTTGAATATTTGATTATAGCTATCAGGGAAACAAGTAAAAGCGGGTAGGGAGTTCCACTGACGGGAAGTGTGAGATAAGAAGCTGTTAGAGTAAAAGAGACGACTACATGTAACCGTTCCGACAGTGAAAGGATGGGGCCGAGACGCCAACCTATTAGCGCGCTCAAATTCATGCAGTTTGGGAACCAGTGAAAGTAGCCACAACATGTCTGTGAGATAGTGACTGTAGACGGGATGCCAGATTAGGACCTATCACATTGCATATCCGTCTTTGGATTTTGTCGAGGACCTCGAGATGAACAGCGGGGGCACCAGACCGTATATGGCAGCAGTATTTCATGCACGGACGAATGGCTGATTTGTAGATAGATATATGATAAAAATATAGTTTTAAGATATGCTATATTTCTGGGTAAAATTGGTCAATATCAGTTAAAGAGCAAAACCCTTGAATGTTAGTGGCACTCCTGCCTTGCCTGGGGTAATATGCTTAAAAAAATCTATCTATCTATCTATCTATCTATCTATCTCTCTCTCTCTCTCTCTCTCTCTCTCTCTCTATATATATATATATATATATATATATATATATATATATATAAATAGATAGATAGATAGATAATTGCTAATATCTCCTGACGATTGGACGGAACGATTGCTGGAGCGACCGTCTACGAAACAACAATCAGCTAAGTGACACTGACGTCATCACCGAGCTATGTTAGTCTGTTTCATGATTGATTGATTCGTTTTTTACGGCTTATCAACCCTTTGCAGGACATTCAAAGCCAGAAAATATTTTTAGACTGTATGAAAGTTTTTTTGGGAGATAACATTGGTTTAGTGATACAATTCTTATTAATTAAACCATAGTTGGGGCAAAAGAGGTGGATTCATATATTTCCCAATAGTATTTGCGCGTGAGTGAACATAAAGAAGCCAATGGAAATTGGAACTCGTCTCTCCGATTAACAATTCCGAGCCATTATCCATTACACCGCCCAAACTTACAGCCAAGCTCGGAGCACCTGGCATTACCAAGCGGTCACCCATCTAGGTACTGACTAGACTCGATGTTGCTTAACGTCGCTGATTGTACGGGAACTTGTGTTTCAATGTGATGCTGACCGTCAGGTAAAGCCATTTTTAAACATTTTGGTCTGAGAAATCGGAGGTATATAGCTGACATTTTAGATATTTCTGAACAAGTTTAACTCTATGCAAGTCATTCATATGAAAGCCTCGATCTGACGAGAATATGACTCGAGTTTTCAGGGTAATGTTTGTTTTTTTTTATAGCAATTTGCCGTGTTGGGTGAACCTACCACTGGATCAGCCTATTGAAAGGAAATTGGATATAGAATAGGCCCTATTCTGTATTCAATTTCCTTTTTTCCTATACTAAATCTGTTATAAGCGTTCGTGTTATGTGCGAAGAAAATCAGTTTTTATTAAGAGAAAATTTCTCTTCTTTTGGGTATCCGTATATTTTTTCGTTGACAGAAACTTCACCATGTGTAAAGAATTATTTTCTTTCCATTTGTTATGTTGCGTAAGAAGAATAGCGTTCCAGAACACATTATTCACAGGATTCATATATATTTTAAGTTCTTTTCCCCGTACAAGACTGGATATGCCTCCTGGACAAAACAAAACACACATTATCTATCTATCTATCTATCTATATATATATATATATATATATATATATATATATATATATATATATATATATATATATATAATTTAACATGCTATGTTACCCTAAAATAACAGCTGTATTGCCAAAAAAAACTTAATCATCATCAGATGGTGACTATGGCTTCAAGCATAGTTTATGGTTGAAGCGTCATTACTGTTAATCAAAGGCACTCCACGGTCGCACACAAATTATATATATATATATATATATATATATATATATATATATATATATATATATATATGGGAAAAATGACTAATAATACATTTAATATTTATTAACAAAGTGATAAAAACAGGAACAAGAAATAAATGTAATCGGCTGGACTGATTAATAATACATTTAATATTGCCTTATAATATTTTTAATATTTCATGAAAAAGTGATAAAAACAGAAGCAAGAAGAAAAATAAACGAAATAACGTCAGTTAGACTCTAAAACCGAAACATAGAAAAAAATAAAATAAAAATTTCAACGTACCCTGTCATTTATGACCGTGTGTAATCGTGTCACCGTAAGACATCAATTTCGTTTGATGAAGTCCCAATGGGCGAACCGCGTCACACGAATTTTTTTCCACTTTGTCATAAAATTTCCTAATTTATTCAGGGTGTATCAAAAATGCTTTTTTTACAAACTATGGGGGCGGGTATCTGACACCAAAACAAGGTAAACTGTCCATATAAACATATGTCCAAAAAGGCCATCGTTGTACTTCAACACAACAACTCATGACAAATGTTCAAAATGTCCTCCTCTTACTTTTACACACGCATGCACCCGTCGGATCATTGACTGGTGGACCATTTCAAATACTCACACACAGTGTCGAATGGTTTCGCAGGCCTCCATGACACGTTGATGAAGCGACTCCGCGTTATAAATGTCTGCCAATTGTTTTAGGTGGCCCTACAGTTAAAAAAAAAAAAAATCAATGCATTGAGGACGGGCGGGGGGGGGGTACATGCAGACCATGAAACTGATCCTTCCCTACTTTTGCATCTTTCATGGTAGATGACAGCCAGTGCATCGCGAACAATGTGAATAAAATGTGCTGGTCGAAATGAACAAAAAAATCGTACAATTTTCAGATGTTGAATTTAACCTCGCTTCTGGCACCGTCGTCTCCTCTTACTTGAAGCCGAATTCTATAGTAAGGTATATAAATGTGAAGTCCAACCCCCTCCGCCACCAGGCATTATTAAGCATATCCCGATGGCTTTTGAGTGTAGACTGTCAAGAAATTCCTCGTCTAAAGATAACTTTGAGTCAAAGAAAAATGAGTATGAGTCAGTATTAAGAGAGGAGGAGCACAAAAACAAGCTGAACTTCAATCCTTAACCCAACCAACAAGTAAGAAACAGAAACAGGAAGTGAGATATTATTTGGTTTCCTCTCCAAGTTTTAATTTAGAAGTAAAAACAAATATAAGTAAAATGTTTTTCAAACAGTTAAATTAGAATTTCCTGAAAACTTCTAACCTACAAAAGATTTTTAATAGAAATGATGTAAAAATAACTTACTGCTGCACCAACAATCTAGATAATATTATAAAGAAGCATAACACAAGGAAATTTAAGACAGCGGAAAATAGCAACAGCACCGACACCATCCCCTACAACTGCAGGGATAAAAAAAAATGCCCTTTGGAAGGTAGCTGCAATGCCGAGAGCGTGGTATATAAAGCGAGAGTGAACGATTCCATGAGGCAGAACAATGTCTACGTGGGATGTACAGAAGTTATATTAAAAAAAAAATGGTACAAACATAGGTCCTCGTTTAAACAAAGCTTTGTACAACGGCTATGGTCTCCAAGGCATAACTGTTGTACAACACTGGTAAACTATATGTGGGATTTAAAAAAAGAAAATGTAATAAAAGCCCCAGTAATAAAGTGGAATGTGCCAAGGAGGCTTAAGCCTTGCAGATATATTGGCAATGTTTGTAGGCTGTGTCACGAGAAAAAATTGGTTATAGTGACATAGCCGGACAAAATCAACTTGCTAACTCAACGGTCCGAGCTTATGTCAAAATGTCGACATACTAATATATATATATATATACTTCAGACCAGTACGAGCCCGGATGATTAATTTTTTCCTTATTTCCGGTTCTACCAACTCTTCCCTGCCACCAATTTTGATATTTCTAAATTGTGGGCACTTAGTCAATTTCTATAAGCGGCTTTAATTAATCCTACGGATTAACTGTAACCAGGTAACTATCCTGATGAGAACGTAAGATCGAAACCCGGGTAGTACGTTACGAGTGAATTTCTTCTAATCTTTTATCATATATATATATATATATATATATACATATATATATATATATATATATATATATATATATATATATATATATATATATATATATATATATATATATATATATATATATATATATAAATATATATGTATACATGTATATATATATATATATATATATATATATATATATATATATATATATATATATATATATATATATATATATGTGTGTGTGTGTGTGTGTGTGTGTGGTAATAATACAATATGGTAATCCGTATGGAAATTCCAGTAGAGCTCTATGTCAAGAGAGAAAGCAAAATTATAATTAATTAAAGTATATCAAACACTTAAAATGCCATAGGTAATAATTTTATTTCATGAAATAATATATATATATATATATATATATATATATATATATATATATTCTAGTTGGCCAAGATCTCGCTATAAAACAGCTCTCAATCTTCAAAACCTTAAAAAAAAATATATATATATACATATACCAGGTGCAACAGTAAAATTGTCCAAATCGTGTAACAGCATGGGATAATTGTCCATCCCACAAAATATTTAATATAAAAAAAAAAAAAAAACACTAAACTAATTGAGTTTCTTTTTTACAGGTTTTTAGATAAGATGTTTATCCATCTTGGCACCATTTAACATTAGAATCAGTGAAAAACCCTTTGAGTTATTCAGCTAGAAGGAAAGCAGAATAAAACCGTTTTGTCTCAGTCCCATTGTTTTCTCAACTGAGCAACGGTGAGAAGAAAAAGATCAGTAATGGTACCAGCATTCATACTCTGGCTTCCATCTTCAAAGTCCATTCAAGAACCATCAAGAGAACGGTAAGTTTTAAAAAAGAGGGAACAGTACAGAGGAAAATGAATCAGGGGATCACAACAAGAAGAGGGATCATCATTTCATCTTAGAGCTAAAGAGATCAATTAGAAAAGATCCAACTCAATTCATAAGACGTTTGGCAGATGAGAGTAAAGTTTCACCCATGACACTCCAAAGAGCAATGAAAAAGGACTTAAAAATGAAATCTTATGTGAAACCTGTCAGGCACCTAATTACTCCAGGACAGAAAGTTAGAAGGTTAGAGAGGGCGAAAATCATCTTGAATAAGCTGAAAAATTATCCTGGAATAATATATATATATATATATTTGAACTTAATTTCAATCCTTCACAGGCTTCCGGTCCTTAGCTATGATTAATTAATGATGAACTTCTCATTTCCGTTTATGATCTATTTCATCACGATTTCTTCTGTTAAGCATAGAGAGTAATTATATATTATTATTGCTTAAAGTAAAGTTCAATAGTGTTAAAAAACCTAGGAGAACTCCAGTAAGATATCTTTCATCATTTCTAAGATATAACAGTTCAAATCTTAATCTAACAAATGGACAATTTTTCTGTTACACGATTTGGACAATTTTGCTGTTAAACCCGGTATATATATATATATATATATATATATATATATATTAATTTAAAAATTTGTCTACGCTTAGAAAGCTAAAATTACTAGTGTTTTATGGGCACCTGGTGGTGAGGTAATATTTGACAAATTCGTCTGGTTGACCATGGCTAGAGAATAGTGATTTCGATCCTAACTGGGTGCATTCACTGCCATATAAAAGATTAGATATTACATAAGTTTTCAGCACTCTCATTTTTGTGGGTTTCAAATGACATTTTTCTATCTCTTAATACTTTGCTTAGTTTCTGGAAGGCATTTTCTATATTGCTCTACGCTTTTGAATTTCTGTGATATAATTTCTGATAACGGGGAAATGGTACAATGTTATACTTGCAAACTAAGTGCTTATTTACCTAGAAAAATCAGCATTCGAAATCATATATCGATATATCTATATCTAAACATAACTATCTCTCAGTATTTACAAGGCATACCGAAAAAGAAAAGAAGATTGTGTTACGCAAATATCACAAGTATGGAGAACCTGACTGCCTAACTGCTTATTTGCCTAGAAAAATCAGCATTCGAAATCATAGCTTTTTAACTCTGATAAATACGTATTTCTGAGATGCTGTGAGCCACGCCAGTCTTTTGATAATTCCTATGAACACAAATACTTGAGCATCTCTTTGGATGTCTGATCAATGACTCTGAATAGGG